GGGGGGGTGGGGGGGGGGGGCGAATATTTATTCCGCGGTAGTGTTTGTACGAAGGTAATCCCCCCTTTTCCGTCTAACATGGCTATTGGGGACACTTGGATGATATTTTAGGTTCCTCCTCTGTCTTCACGCTTGATTTGGGTGGACTTTTTTCTCTGTTTTTTCTTTTTTGTCATCGTTACCGCCACACCAACACACTCAACACTCAACACCCAACACTCAACACCCAACACCCAACACCCAAGAATGTTGATCCTGCGATGGAAGGGCCGAACCAACACACCCAACACTCAACACTCAACACCCAACACCCAACACCCAAGAATGTTGATCCTGCGATGGAAGGGCCGAACAAATATGTACATTTGTAAAGACGATCCCGCCTTTGAGCGTCCCACATTTGTTGCCTAAACAACGATGATGACCGTCACTTGCCCGTCAAATCGAATGCCTTTCGTATTCTGCTCTGGTCATGCAGGAGTTCAATCGAGGCATCTTTGACTACCTGATCGTGACGGACGACAGCATGGACGTCCAGGGTGTCGGCGGGGTTGCGGTAGAAGAAGACGGCGATGATGGAGACAGCGTGAGTGATGAGAGCGTCGGAGGAGACGCGCCCGCCGGCAGCATCCGCGTTTCTGCCAGCGTTGCTCTTGAAGGAGAGGATGCGATGGACCAATCGTCGTCGGAGGATGGGGAGGAGGAGGAGGAGGAGGAGGAGGGAGAGGAGGACGAGGGGGAGGAGGAGGAGGAAGAGGAGGAGGAGGAAGAGGAGGAAGAGGAGGAGGATAGCAGTAGCGAGGGCGGTGCAGAAAAGGAGGAGGAACCGAAGAGCACAACCGGAAAGGCCAATAACAAGAAGTCCAAGAAGAAGGGAGGTAAGGGGGGGCACCGCGGAGAGGATTCGGAGTTCGGGGCTGCCCGAGGAGTCGACTTCCGCGGGGTTTCCTTCGGTGAGTGACGTCATTTATTTTTTGAAGAGGTGACGCATTTTCTTTTCCGGGGGGGGAGGGGGGGCGGGGCAAGTTGTGTGTGGGGATTACGTTGTGTTTCAGGGACCCCCAGATCATGGCGTGTAGCAAAAAATCGCGTGGGGGGGGGGGGTACTCATGCACACCCTTACCGTAGTGGTTAGATCTAGCATCCCTACCAATACCGTGACGGAACGATATGGCCGGGCTTTCGCCGGCCCAGGCTACTGTACTGCGTTCCACAAGGATAAACCAGAAGCTGGCCATCAACCCTGGGGCTGGCCATCCTCTAGGGTGTCCGCGCAAGCGCTTTTTACGTCTTTTTGTTTTTGGTCATCGAGTCATGCTGATCTTCAACCAGCAGCAAAGTTTGAAACTGGTCTCGTCTGCTTGGTGGTCATGCTTGTTGCTGTCGGCGTCGTGCACCTGCTTTTTATTTTTAGAAAATATGTATACGAAAAAACACGAAAATGCTACCCGTTTGAGATCAGAGGTGGTCCCTGTTTAGTGCCGGTATGTGCCCAGGAAATTCACCCAAACAATAACCGGACGGGCACTATTCAAAGTGCTGACAATGACTTCGAAATTCAGTGTGTGCCCGCCGAAATCACCGGCGCTATACACTATTTAACCGGCACTAAACAGGGACCACCTCCGTATTATTGTCTCCTTTTTTTTTTTTTTGTCGTCCTGCTCGTGTATGCGCCCCTCGGTTCTTGACACCCCCTCCTCACGGGTCCCCAGATCATGCCCTTTAGCAATGCATGCCGCTTTCAGCGGTATTGGTGTTCTTGCTCCCTTCTTTTAATTTATTTTTTATTTTTTGTCACATGTTGCTGTGCATGCACGCTGTGCATGATGTCCTGCCCCTCTATGTCCCTTTCGTTTCTCAACTGCTTGTTCTCTGATGCGTGTCCGCTCGAACTCTTGCTGCGTGTCTCCCGTCCGCCACCCTCGTGCCGCCGCGGCTGAATGCCCAGTGCTCAACGTAGACTTCCCGCCTACGGCGTCGAGCTACACTCACCGCGTGGGCCGCACGGCTAGGGGCGGGGCCAGCGGCACCGCCCTCAGCCTTGTTCTTGCCAAGGACGAGAAGCAGTGCCGAACGCTTCAGAGGGTGCAGGTGCGTCATCTGCGGACCCCCCCCCCCCCCCCC